ACTTCCACTGTCTGTTCCGATTGATCGAGGCAAATGATACTGATCCTAGATTACTGAATTTGATCATTTGCAAAACCTAGCCTAATCTAACCATGTTTGCAAGTGATCAAATTCAATAATTGGGGTATAAGGGTGGAGGAGATGGTTTTTACCAGAAAAAAATAGTAAATGCACCAAAATTTCTGGAGATGTTATAACCTAGTTTATACTATAGATGAGTAAGGGGTGACCTAACTGAAGTTTATAAACATCTCAGAGGGCACTACTCAGTCGATTGTCCATACACGGAGCTGGCGGACACCTGCCCCACAAGGGATCACAGCTCAAGGTTGAAAAAATCACAAGTCCAGAAACCTGTGAGGGCAAACTTTTTCGTAGTGCGAGACATGACCAACCAACCAAGCAGCTAACTTTTTCTTTTCTTCTTACGGGGAATAACCCACTCGGGCACAGGTCATTGACCCACAATGGGGCCTAAGGGGTGAAAGAATTAGAGTAAAGAGAAATTAAAAATAGAAAAGAAAAATATTATACTAATCTTCACCACGAAGATGCCGGAAAACCAGCGTTTTGAAGTGAGACAGATTGTATGAGTATGGAAACACAGAAGAAGGCAGAGCATTCTACAGTTTGAACTGTGTGAGGAAAGAAGGATGTACTGTACTATAACGGATTATGCTAGTGTGACCGAAGGCCACAGAGAAACGGTAGGCACCGCGGGCAAGACGGGTGTTACGAGCCCACGGCCTTGCCGGCGGTACACAGGATGCCAAATCCATCGAACATTGCCAGTTAAAGTACCTGTAAAATAAAGACAGTGAAGCAACATTGTGGCAAAAAGAAAGGGAAGAAAGATCATCAACTAAAGGAGGAGAGTCAATAAGACGAAATGCCTTTGATTCCAACCTATCTAACAGCTGGACAGAGGAAGTGCCACCCCAGATATGAGAGCAGGACTCCAAGTTAGGACGAATGAATCCCTTGTATATTTGAAGCACCTGCTCAGGAGTGAAGCAGCTACGGCATCTGTGCAGCATTCCCAACTTTCGGGAGACAGCTTTAGCAATATTGAGGATGTGTGGCTTCCATGACATATTAGAGGAAATGGCGAGGCCCAGCATATCTAATTTAGAATTTGGCAGAATGATTAGGTCCTGAAATGTGATTGGTGGGAGATCACCTAATTTGGAAAGTGTAATTAGCAAATACTGCATTTTATTAATATTGAATTCAACCAAGTTTCTACCTCCCCATTCGGATATGCTGCACAGATCTGCATTGATAGTGTGATGATATCAGCTCTAGAAACAGATCTACTGTAGTTTGAGAATTTGGGGGAAGAGGAAAATGTGAAGAAGATAAAAGAGTAGAATCATAAGCGTAAGAATGGATAGAATTAGTCGTAGTGTGAAATAAATCATTGATAAAAAGAAGGAAGAAAGTAGGTGAAAGAACAGAACCCTGTGGGACACCACTATTGGTAGAGAAAGAGCGAGAGATCGATCCTTCGATAAAAACTACCATGGATTGGTTTTCAAGGAAGCAAGAAATTAGAGAACAAAATGGGGAGAGAAACCATAAGAGGAAAGTTTAGAATGCAAAGACTTGTGCCATACCCTGTCAAATGCTTTGGAGATGTCGAGGGCTATGTCGAAAGTTTCCCCATAATCCCTAAGAGAGGATGACCAAAGATGGGTGCAGTAGGAGAGTAGATCACCAGTAAATCTCGCCTGGCAAAAGCTAGCTATACTGGTGAGCCGACAAAAGAGAATGGCGCTCAAGGTGACGGAGAAAACGAGAGTTGAAGATGGGTTTGTAAATCTTAGAGAGGGATGAAGTTAGGGTAATGGGGCAATAGTTAGAGATTACAATGGTCACCCACCCTTCTTCGGGATGGGCTAAATCGAGGCATGCTTCCAAGAAGAAGGAAAAGTTTGGCTTTTGAGGCAAAGGCAAAAGAGGCGTGCAAGCAAAGGGGCCAGAACTTCAGCACTCCTTCATAACACGAGGGGGTATTTCATCCGGTCCATGCGCCTTACTCACATCCAACCTGGATAACACCAGCAATCCTACGTGTGGAGATTATAGGAAAGTGCATTGGTTCAGTAGGTGGAGTAGGAGGGATAGAGTTGGAATCGTCTAAGGTGGAGTAAGAGCAGAATAAGGTGCCAAAGAGATTGGCAAGATAACAGTAAAAAGTAAAAGTAATGGACTACAGTAGTTAGGGGACATACAAATGTTCAAAATATGAAACTATGGCAAATAACTTACAAAGAACAAGAATTATTTCTTCAGTGTAACAAACACTTGTACAGTGCTCTTACGTCCGCATATGTAAAACTACACTATGCCACTTTAAGAAAAATGCTCTCAGTGGGTCTGGTAGGAAGTTAGGTTACGTCAGGTTCTGCTAAGTTCTGTGCATTGTCCTTTCTATTTTCTTATTTTGTATCATATGCATATAACATCTCCCAAAAAATTTTCTAGTAATAACCGTTACTAGATTATTGAATTTGATCACTTGAAAACATGGTTAGATTTGGCTAGGTTTGTAATCTAGGATCACCATTATCTGCCTCGATCAATCAGAACAAACAGTGGAAATGATAATTATTTGGATAATTACCATCTGCTGTTTTCCATTGAAAATGGGTTTAAAATACCCAATTTTCACTGACTTTATTAGGGGATACTGTATTATGTTGGAAAAAATAGAAAAATGGTTTAAATCATGCACTAACGTAATCGAACCTAACCTATTTATTAACTCCCCTTTATCTAGACACTAAGCATTTACATAAGAAAATGAATAGAGCTGAAAGTAATCAATGTACAAAACTGTCTAAACACATCCTTATAATTAACAAACCGATGACGACCACGGCAAGAACATAGGAATGGAGGAAACTGCAGCGGGCCTGTTGGCCCATACTGGGCAGTCCCATTTACACCCAACCCCTATTGCTCATATAAGCATCCAACCTATGTTTGAAGCTATCCAGCGTATTCGAGTAAATGATGATATTTGGTAACTTGTTCCATTCATCCACTACTCTGTTTCCAAACCAGTGTTTACCTATTTCGCGCCTAAATCTAAATTTATTTAATTTAAAACCATTGTTACGAGTTCACTCCTGGTTGGATAGTTTGAGTACCTTTGTAATGTCCCCTTTGTTTAGCCCTGACTTCCATTTATACACCTCTATCATGTCGCCCCTCGCTCTACGTCTCTCGAGGGAGTGCAAATTAAGATGCTTTAACATGTCTCTATACTCCTAATGCCCGGGATTAGTCTTGTCATTCTCCTCTGAATTCTTTCCAAGGATTCTATATCCATTCTGTAATACGGTGACCAGAACTGAACTGCGTAATCCAGGTGTGGTCTTCATAAGATACAGTTTTAGGATGACCTCGCTTAGTTTAAAATTTTTTTGTATGAACCCAAGTACTTTATTAGCCTTGTTACGAGCAAAAACACATTGTTTACTTGGCTTAAGGTTCCTACTTATCATTACTCCTAAATCTCTCTCGCAGTCGGATTTCTCAATGGCATCGTTGTTCATCTGGTAACTGGTTTCCCTGTTTACATCTCCTATACTGAGTACTTTACATTTGTCCACGTTGAATTTCATCTGCCATTTTTCAGACCATCGAAAAATTTGTTTAGATCTTCCTGTAGTTTTGCGGAGTCCTCGTCAGATTTAATAAAACGTCCTATTTTAGTGTCATCAGCAAATTTACTTATGTTGCTGTCTATGTCGATATCTATGTCGTTTATGTATATAATAAATAATAATGGCCCAAGTACTGAGCCTTGGGGAACTCCACTTATGACGTTGCTCCAATGGGATTTAGTGTCGTTAAGGCTCACTCGCTGTTTCCTGTCCTGTAACCATGACCTAATCCATTTAAGGATGTTACCTTTGATGCCATGTGCTTCTACCTTTCTAATTAGTCTTTCGTGGGGGACTCTGTCGAAGGCTTTGCTAAAGTCGACATATACCACATCATAATTGTGCCCCTCGTCCACCGATTCGAAAACTGATGAAAAGAATGTTAATAGATTAGTTAGACATTAACGCCCGCTTGGTACATTGTTTACTTTACATTTGTTGCATCACAGCTGATGAATAAACTGCAAGATGCTATCTTAACTCGCCTACTTCTCAAAAACTAAGCATTTGCCCAAGAATGTGAATAGAGGTGAAAGTAATTCTGTGCAAAACTGTGTCTAAAAACATCCTCCATAATTACCGAATCGCTGACAGTCACCAGTCGTATTGTATTAGCAATGGAAGTAAATAAAGGTCCGTAACTGGACAAAATGTAACTGGCAATACTTTGTGTATTATCTTCAGTAAGTGTTTATACAGTATATATACACTATTTAGGGTATTTTAGTTTCGATCATCTAGGGCAAAGCTCCCACTCAGAAAGGAGGGGTCTGGGGGGCAAAGCCCTCCCCCAGTGAGGTTAGATGTAGTTCCTGGGTTCTGTGGCTAGGTTAGGTTAGATATCTATTAATACAGAGATGACAGAAACTAAAAGTTTGGTATCATTGCAGTTTAAGCCCAACTCAGTTAAAGCAATTTTGTTGGAGGGAGGGGGGGGGGGTGATATCTCAGTAACCACTCATTTGCGACGGAAATGAAAGTCAAATTGGTTCATCAGAAATGCCTCTGGGAAAACAAAAATTTATGGTCAAACAGTACCCCCACGTTAGTTGGGGGGAGCTGAAACTGAAAATTAACCAAAATTTTATCTGTATAAATATCTAACAAATAAATTCAATCAATGGCAAAGTAAATAAATTCAACCTAGGAGAGCCCAACTATATAAATATCAATCTCGATTAACAAATAAATACGTGTCTATTTAGGTGCCATTAATTTCTTCCATCTCTTATTTTATCTTTACAATAATCTATCAAACTTCTCTATTACCACAAGACGGTCAAGTGTGAGATAGCACTACAGTACAAGGCAACATATGCAACATACCTTTCAAATCCGTTCCAAATAATTTCCATTTGGGGGCGAACTGAATGCAGTGCCCACACCAAGTGTTATAAAACTCTACAACCCAAGCGTTCTGTGTCCCGTAAATTGCGGATGAGAAATTACTATGGTCTAATATAACTAAGTCGTCATTGCTATCGTAGAGAGATGCCGCACTGTAGTGGAAACACGAAGAAAAATAGAGACCGAGGAGGACGAACACCGGCCGTCTCTCCCCCATCCTGCTCGTTGACAACTGAACCTGTGACAGTGTGTGCGTGACTGTGAAGCTCTATCATAATGTAAACAATGAAATGTTGAGTTCATTTCTAAGTTTCTTTTTTTATTTACAAGCAATTTCTTACGTCTCCTTATATACGTGTAAATTATTTCTGAAGTTATTGAATCATGCAAATGGGCAAAGCTATTGATATTTACCTGCCTTTGTCTAAAATACAAAAGGGGTAACGGAGAGAGTTGTTTATTTCATAATTTTTAATTGTTGATGGACAAGTATAATTATTAACCTTGTTACGCGCTTACAGACCTTGGTTATTAAAGCGCAGTAATAACATAAAAAACTTTCTAACGTCAACGTTAAAGGGAACAAAAGTAATATCTCCTACTGTAGTTGTGTTGAGGGAATTACAGTACTACGATATCTTTACTGTATCCTCTTCGTCACTTGCTAGCTTAAACAAATATTTTCACAATGATGAATGACGAATATGAATTACATTTGTAGAAAGACAATTCCATCTGCTGATATAAAAGCATAAAATTCATTTTTGATACATTCAACTTGAGGTAACTTGGCAAGTCCATACGATACCAGGACAGGTGGTCGATATTATCTGTGTTATTAACTTACTAATATTTGTGAACTTAAACATATATTTTATTGTGCACCTAATTTTCAACCAGTTTATAGGACAAAACATATGAAAGATTATATACTGGGCTAAATAATTTTTCATCAACGCTATGCCGTATAACAATAATCTGTGCATTGTTAAGCGCGCCTTGGCTCTGCCTCCACGTCATGTTCCCCCCAAGGTTGACACGTAGATAAGGGAAAAAAGAGACGAAAACTTCATCAGTGGATATGCAGCATTATACAGTATTTTTTATTATTCGCATCCCGCATACGATTTATAAATAAGAACAGTTGAGTTGCAACAAGAAACAATCAAAACTTGTTCTGCTTTTATGTTCAGTATTGTCAAGGTACTATACAGATATTTATGTTTATCATTTCGCCACGTTGCAACATTCCGATTACCACAAGTGTAACCAGTTTTCTGTTCAGAGTATCGAAGAGCTGCCCGTATGCATACGGCTATAAGTTTAATTTTAGTCTAGTTTTCACAGAGTTGAGCGTTTGTTTGCAGAGCAACGGCCAATGTATATACTGTAGATTATTGTTTCGGGTCTCCTAGGACTCTCGGGAGACAGGTACACAGTCTAAGAAGCTGCTAGCAAAATTGCTTTGTAAAAATATCCGAGTTTTTTCTAACAATTAGCCGAATGTTTGTCACCTTCCTTCATACCTGTTGTGTGCTCTGTTTTGTGTTGTTTCGCTACTATCCTCTTCAGGGGGTCCGGACCCCCCTTTTTCATCAGAAAATTCTAATACTTTTTCTTTAAAGCAGTATTGTATACAGGCGTTTTTGTATAGTAAAAAGTAATTACTATTGACCTCAGAATATCTCCTAATATCAAGTGCACACATGGCTGGGTGAACTTCTTGGACCCCCCTTTTGATATTATCGAGGATATTTGTATAAAGTTCAAATTTTAAAGATTATTAATATATAACTTGTGGTATCATTTTCCAAATATAAACTGTATGGAGTTATATAAACATAAACATGATATTTGCCAAAAGTAAAGAAACTGTTAGCTGAATTAGCACACACCTGTGACTACCAATGTGGCCTTATTAACTTTAATGACCACCATACATAACTCATCTGACTCGTATAATTTATTCCCACCAGACTACTATCATGGTTAAATTAGAGCGTTATGTAGATTATATACAATTAAATTCTTATATTTACTGACCTCACTAGAGAAAGGTTACGGCAGGCTTAGCTCCCGGGATTGTCAGTAATGGCCAGTGCCAGTGCCGGATTTAGACCTGTGGAGGCCCATGGGCAGCCTCTATGTGGAGGTCCCCCTCATTATACCTACCCAAGAGGGTGGGGTGGCGAATGAAGTGAGCCTAAACATCTGGGAGTTCCGGGGGGCGCTGTAAGCCCCCCGGGAAAATTTTGAAATTTGAACACTTCTTTGGATAATTTTGAAGCACTATGCAGTTATATTGAGGAAATTAGAACATTGAGAAATTTTTGATTAACTGTATATTTATTGATAGTGTACAAATTCCCAACACACACACACACAAAAGTGAGACATGACTGGAGTCATTCATGTGGTTTCAAGTCGACCAGCCCTAATATAGCTACTACCGCACATGTGGAGGTCCCCAGATTGTGGAGTCCCCCAGATTGTGGAGGCCCCTTGGCAGCTGCCCACTTTGCCCACTCCTGAATCCGGCCCTTGCCAGTGCTACTTGTGAACAGGGCTGAGATAGAGAGGGCCAAAGAAGAAATCTTGAAATTACAGGAAGTGATAGCGAGGATGGAGGAAGAAACGAGACAAGGAAAGCCTGTGTCTGACGAAAATTCGGGCGAATGGAAGGTTGTGAGGAGAGTGGCGACCAAACTGGTGGTGAAAAAACACACCAAGGATACGACAACAACCGCAACAACCGCTAAGTGTACCAACTCTTTCAGTCCCTTGATAGACAAATTGGACGTTAGCATAGTCAGGGACAAGGCTGACAAGGAAGGTATGAAAACCTTAATTGTTGGCGATTCCCAGGTACGGTACTTGGACAGAGATTTTTATGGTAAAAATAAAAATAGGATGAGGGTGTGTTTGCCAGGAGCTGGGGTGGGGGATATAGTTGACAGGATGGACAATATCTTGTCTGGTAATGGGAAATAACCCATTATAATAATAATAATAATAATAATAAACGGTTTATTAATAGAGTTGCAGCCGGTGGCTGAAAATATACAGACTTACATTTGATTTAGACATAATGATATAATATGCACTGAATACATTTACAGGGCTGTACAGTACATAAATCAGGAGTTCAATTTCAATTTCAATTGTTTATTCCTTGATAGAGGAAGCGGGATCCTAGTGCTGTCACTAGGTACCCCTGTACAATGACACCAGAATCATCTGGCAAGTGTGAAAAGTATATACAGTATAAATATTATAAAGGGGCTTACTAAAGCCTAAGGAAGGAAGGATGTTCCTTTAACACATAATTAATATTATTTACAAAATATCTGGCCAGTATTGGGAGGATCATCGTGTCTCCGTCAGGGGGTCGTGGAGTGGTGGTCCAGCAGGCGTCACGGAAGCGTTGTGTGTGGGGACATCTTAGGAGGTAGTGAATAAGGGTGCGGCTGTCGGGTCTTCTGCATAACGCACAAGAGCGTTGCTCAGGGGATGTGGGGATACCAATCTCCCAAGCAAAGTCATACCCAATGATGATACGGGCAGCAATCACGTCCCCCTTCCGCGACCCTTTCCTGTAGACGTATGAGAAGTCAGGAAGTTTACGGAGGACATCGTACCATGTGGGCGGGGAGTCCAGGGGGATGGCTGCTTCCCGAGCTTCTCTCTGTTTGCGGCGGATTTGGGTCCTAATCTGTAAGAGTGTTCGAGGAACAACGTAGTCAGGTGTGGCCTTGTTGCAGCCAGTCTTGGCAAGGTCATCTGCTGCCTCATTCCCCAAGATACCGACATGACTAGGTATCCATAGGAATGTCACAGGACGGCCTTCATCCTGAAGTGTGGATGTTAACCCTCGTATTCGGAGGATGAGGTCCTTATTTTCCCCAGATCCAAATGCGATCCCGTCGAGAGCAGACCTGGAATCGCAGCAGACAAGCAAGGGGCAGAAACCATCTGCTTCTTCCTCAGCGAGAAGGGCAGCAAGGAGGGCTATTAGTTCAGCCTGAGTGGAGGATGCCCCGTCAGAAACTCTGAGAGACAGTTTGATAGGCTCAGGGGCATGAGGACGGGAGATGTAGACACCAGCCCCGGCCCTACCTGTAGCGGGGTCAACAGAACCATCAGTGTAGAGGACGACCCTACCTGGGGACCAGTGAGCGATCCTGGAGAGGTGGTATTTGCAGAGAATAACAGGGTTCACCTGGGATTTCGGGAGCGGTCCACCGAGGGCAATCACTTCAGGTTGAAAATCCAGCCAGGGAGAAGGAGACGAACCAACAGCAGGGGTGACAACAATATCAGGCAGGAGGTCATGTTCCTGAAGGGCTCGGATGAGTGACCCTCGCCACTGTCTTCTAGATGGAGGTCGGTCTCGAACAGCAGTAGTCAAGTTGGTTTGGACATAGTTGCCCCTAGGATCCCGTAGAATGGAAACGGCAGTTTTTAGGTAAAACTCCTGGACACGATCCTGTAAGGGGGAAAGACCAAGTTCGTTATATAGAGAAGTAGAGCGTGTCCACTGAGGAGCCCCAAGGATGATACGAGCAGCTTTCCTCTGGATAACTTCGAGACGGTTGACAGCAGTCCGACTAATGTTGACGAGGGCAGGGGCGGCGTAGTCGACACAGGAACGGACAAAAGACTTGTACATGGTGAGAAGTACAGGGATGCTGGCACCAAGGGAACCCCTGCACATGGTAGAGAGGGGAGCGAGACGCCGAAAACATATGTCTCGAAGATAGCGGACTTCAGGGATCTGACAACGTGTGCGAGTTACATACACACCCAGGTATTTTGTCTCATTAACCCAGTCCAAGGGCGTTCCTGATAAGAAAAGGGGTGGAGGTACAACACGACCGTGCCACATGGCTTTTGTTTTCGCAGTTGAAAGAAGGAAACCAAGTGAATCACACTCTCTGGAGACCAGATCAAGGGCTTCCTGCATGCTGAGGTAGTCAGGGGCTTGGAGGAGGACATCGTCGGCATATCCTGAGTGGACAACTTCTGTCGGCCACGGGAGTGATGCAATGGAGTGCATGAGAGTGTTAAACAAGGTGGGACTCAGGACTCCACCTTGAGGGGTGCCGAGGTTCATTTCTTGAACAGGAGACATAGAGCCTTCAACGCGAACCCGGGCCTGACGTCCAGTGAGGTAAGAGGCGATCCATTGTAGAAGTCTCCCTTTAACCCCTAACCGTGCAAGTTCAGCTAAAATGAGGGCAGGCTGAGCCGT